CACACACACACACACACACACACACACACACACACACACACACACACACACATACTCTCTCTTTCGCACACACACACACACACACACACACACACACACACACACACACACACACACACACACACACACACACACACACACACACACACACACACACACACTACGTCACCTCACAGTGGCCGTTTCTCAATGTCGAGTAAAGCTGCTGCAGAGCCACTATTTCAGGTATACTACGTCATCGAGTGGCGCCGAATGCTGGGCATTTAAACAGTCCTTCGGCGCCACTCGATGAAGTAGCATGCTTGAAATAGTGGCTCTGCAGCAGCTCTACTCGACATTGAGAAAGTGTGTTTGTAATTAGGAGACTTGCAATGAATTTGTTGAAATAATGGCAGTGTTAAATCCATCGTCTTTAGGGGGTTGCCTTGTTTCAAAATGGAGCTTTTTTAGGTATTGGATGTTCAAGGAGACTCAGATATGTTTTGTTGTGTGTTTGCAGGTATGGATCTATTCGAGGAGGCGTTGAGGCGGTGGGAGGAGGCGTTGACGTTCAGGAGCAGGCAGGAGGAGGACGATGATGCCAGCTGTGAACCCGTCAAAACAGGAGCGGAAGAAGCTGTCGCTGAGCAGGGCACGGAGGTGAACACACAGAAACACACCTCATTATGTAACTCCAATCCAACATATACAGGGTAATGCCACGCTTAGTCAGAGGGAAGTAGAGTATAATGATTTTAAATGAACTTCATAAAGCATTGTCTTTCTAACGCCATGCCTGTATGTTTGGAAAACTGTATGTTTTCCTATAAATGCACCCGACAAAAGAAACAGCTCAGTTAAACTTGATCTAAAAATGACCAACATTTCTGTACTCTGTCTGTCTACTCTCCTTTTATGCCAGATGAAGGTGGATAGAACATTTTGACCACTCAGTGCCCCAGGTCACACATATGAGTAAACAGCACTTTGAGTTGGATTGTTTAACGGCTAACTGGATTAGTGCGGGTTAAATAGTTAATCTTGGCACCCAAACATATGCCGGTCTGTTGCATAAGTCCTCAAAAAACAGTTCCCTCTCCTCAGTCCTGTCGCTAAACAAAGCTTATCAAAAGGCTGATAAGTTAAGCTAAAAAGTGGAATTATCAAAACACAAAGAAGGGATCTTTAGAGGGAAACAGGTCAAATGTCTTTATTTGATCTCCCTTCAAGCTGATACTTGTTCAAACATTAGGGAGCCTGCTATTAACCCTTCCTTTTCTAACTTTGTTTATTGGTTTTTATTAAGTTAAATCATTGCATGTGTCCAAATATTGTAAAACACTGTAAAAGACATGTTAAAAAGCAACAATTGAAATATGCCTAAACATCAGAGCCACTAAAACCAAATAAAAAAAAAGAATGAAATAAAAAAGCAGTCAGCAACCAAAACTCGGTCAATAATAAACATAAAAGGCAGTACAGCAGCATCCTCTTCGCCACGACAACCGTAACATTCTCATCCCTTCAAAGTTAAAAACCTTAATCAGGAATGAAATGTGTCCTCTTAACAAACTGAGTTGCTTTTGAGTAGCATATACCGTTGTATGTCCTGTTTGTAAAATGCTGTTGTTACTTAAAACGGTTTACTCTCTAGGCTTTGTGAGCCATGTTCCCGTGGTAACCAGATGTTTGTGTGTTCAGGAGGGGATGAGTGCAGAGTTCCTCCTCCGGCTGAAGTCTCTGCTGCAGAGAGCCTACAGCCTGCAGGAGGAGTTTGAGGGGGTGCTGTGTCTGTCGGAGCCCTCGTCCCTCTGCCAGGGTGAGTCTCTCACACTATGAACTGTCCATGATCCATACAGCGTTAAGCAACTCATCACAATGATTCTCCCCCCTCAGATAAAATGATGTTGGACGTTCTGTCCAGAGAGGAGCTGGACGACGTGTGTCTGAGGGACAGCATGAGCATCGCCTCCAACGACTCCTTTGTGTCGGCTGCTGAGGTAACAACAATAGGGACATATTTAAATATATATATTCTACTTGCATCCACAGGCAAGTTTATTTATTTAGCACCTTTCAACACAAGGCAATTCAAGGTGCTTTACAAAAATGAAAGACATTCAGACAAGGGCATTTAAAAACAGTCATTAAAAAGATAATAAAATAAAAAGTTTTCCCCAAAACTAAGAAAATACCCAGTTGTACCTAGTAACCCACTATCAAATAGTCGTACCTTGTATCCTACTAGAAAGCTCACAATAGTTTTTAGTAAAACTAAGAAAATGTACCCTATAGTCCAGGGGTTCCCAAACTTTTCAGGCCGTGACCCGTGCTAGTGAATTCATTTCAGTTATACAGATTATTATAAAAAATATTATTATAAATTATACAGATGGCTAGTCCGCCCCTGAAAATGTCTATGCAGACGTTATTATTAATAATAATCTTTTAAAAAAATTATTAAAAAAATTAATCAATC